AATATTAAAAATTAATATTTTTACAGGAGCTATAAGTTTGAAAGATTTTCTTTTAATTTTAAAGGAATAGTACATAAATATTTGTTTATGAACTCTTAGATATTTTATTGAGGATTTATAATATATAAATAAATTAATTTATCTATTCAAAATTAAAATTTTTAAATTCTATATGCATGATCCTTATATTAAAGGAATGAATTTATTTGATGTAAATTAACTATAGAGAGATTTTAAATTGGTTAAAAATATTCATGGATTTAAAAGTTTGATATTTATTTTTATTAAATAATTAAAAAAAATTGATATGTTTAATACAATTAGTTATTTTCAGTAATAGCTTCAAATCACCTTTGATGGCTAGTATAAAAATACAAAAAAAGATGGTAAATGGGATGTATTTTATAAATTTCCTTAACAATAAAAGCTTTAGAAGATGTAAATTATTCAAATATATTAGTGGGGGTGGATTATATGGTAATGGTGTGAAAATTGGGAAATGGATTGAAATTGATGAAAAAAGCGTGTTAGATTATATTGTATCTTATAATGGAGAATATCATAATGATAAAAAAGTAGGTTTATGGACAACTTTAAAAAAAAAAAGTGGTATTGAATAGTTGTGGTAATAATATAATTAATTTTAATATATTAAGTGGTTCAGCTAATTATGATGAAGATGGTACAGAGATTTTTAAAAATGATGAGTAATTATTGTTATTAGATATTATTAGAGCTTCTAATTTTTTGTAAGTGGGAGAATTTAAAAATGGAAAAAAAGTAGGTAAATGGAATATCTTTTATAAACATTATAATAATGATAAGTTTTAATTGATGTAAATATAATCAAATAAAATATTTTATTTAGTGGTGGTGGATCTTATGATACTGAATGCGAAGGCTTTAAAATTGGAAATTGGGTAGAATTAAGTGATTTTAATGCAGACAATAGGGAAATAATCTATAAAGGAGAGTATAAATATGGAAAAAGAGTTGGTTAATGGGATATTGTTTGTATAGGAGCATATAATAAACCAGAAAAGAAAATGTAAAAATAATTTATTTATTTTAGTGGTGGAGGATAATACGATGATAATGGTATTAAAATAGGGTTGTGGATTGAAGACTAATAATTGAATAAATATATTACAAATTAAGGTGAGTACAACTAGGGAAAAAAGGTTGGCAAATGGAATATTTTAATGAGAAATTCTGACGATCAGCCCCAATAAATGTAAATTAAAAATATAAAGATTACTTTAGTGGTGAAGGCTCATATGAGAATGGTGAGAAATTAGGCAATTGGACAGAATGTGATGAATGTAAAGATGTGATTAATTTTTCCTTTTACAGCCAATTAACTTTAGATGGCTTTGGATTCCAGATTTGTTAAGGTGGATATCAAATTCATAGAGGAGAGTATAAGATGGGCAAAAAAGTTGGTTTATGGAAAAATTTTATTGAGTAACATAAAAATTTTTAATTGTGGTATTAAGATATTTCATTTTAATATATTAAGTGGTTCCGCTAATTATGATGATGATGGTACAGAGATTTTTAAAAATGATGAGTAATTATTGTTATTAGATATTATTAGAGCTTCTAAAATTTTGTAAGTGGGAGAATTTAAACATGGAAAAAAAGTAGGTAGATGGGATATTTTTTATTGGGATTAGAAAAAGGCTAAATTTGAGTAAATGTAAGTATCTAAAATATTAATTTTTAAGTGGAGGCGGTTTATATGACGAATAAGGAAGTGGGAATAAGATCGGAAATTGGATTGAATATAAAACAGGCTATAAAAATAATTCATAAATCACTTTTAATGGTGAATATAATAATGGTAAAAAGGTTGGTTTATGGAAAACTTATAAAAAAAGAAAAAATTTCAAAATATAAAATTAAATATTTCAATTATGGTAATCAATATTATTTATCATTTAGCGGTTGTAGTAATTATGATGAAAATGGTATAGAACTTTATACAAGTGATAAGTAAATATTATTTTTAGTTATGTCTAGAAATTTAAATATTTTCTACCTGGGAGATTTTATGAATGGGAAAAAGATTGGAAGATGGGATATTTATAATAGGTGGAATAAGAAATAAGATTTTTATAAGATGTAGAATAATCAAAATGATAATTTATATTTTTTTAGTGGTGGTGGATCATATTATGAAGGAGGCAATGGCAATAAACATGGGAAATGGATTGAATTAAGTAATTAATTCGGATTTTACAGGAACTTAATTTATTGTGGCGAATATAAAAATGGAATAAAAGTTGGAAGGTGGGATATTGGGTATAAAGGTGAGCTTGAAAAGGTTTATAAAAAGATGTAACATATTTGAAAAATATTTTATTGTTTTAGTGGTGGTGGAACATATGCTAATGGAATGAAAATAGGTAAATGGATTGAATTGAATGAGTAATGTTAAGAAATTACAAAGAGCTAATACTATTAATTTCATGATGCTTTTGAGATTTATTAAGGAAATTATAAATTTGGTAAAAAATTTGGGTTATGGGAAACATTTAAAATATAGAATTAAATTATTAATTTTAATATATTAAGTGGTTCAGCTAATTATGATGAAGATGGTACAGAGATTTTTAAAAATGATGAGTAATTATTGTTATTAGATATTATTAGAGCTTCTAATTTTTTGTAAGTGGGAGAATTTAAAAAGGGAAAAAAAGTAGGTAAATGGAATATCTTTTTTAAACATTATAATAATGATAAATTTTAATTGATGTAAATATAATCAAATAAAATATTTTATTTAGTGGTGGTGGATCTTATGATACTGAATGCGAAGGCTTTAAAATTGGAAATTGGATAGAATTAAGTGATGAAGGTTAAAAAAGTACAAATAGCACAAAATACTAAATTTGTCAAGGGGATTATAAATTTTATAAAAAAATTGGCTTATGGAAAAAATTCAACATTATTTATAAAAATTTGTAATTGTGGTAATAAAATAATTAATTTTAATATATTAAGTGGTTCAGCTAATTATGATGAAGATGGTACAGAGATTTTTTAAAATGATGAGTAATTATAGTTATTAGATATTATTAGAACTTCTCAAATTTTGTATATTGGAGAATTTAGAAATAGAAAAAAAGTAGGTAGATGGGATATTTTGTATGGAAGATCTACTGAAGAGTTTATAAAAATGTAAAATATGAAATCTTATGTATAAACTTAAGTGGTGGTGGTTAATATGATGAAAATGGTAACTTTAAAATTGGGCAGTGGATTGATTTGATTGATTCCTTTGGATACAATCGAGAAGTCATATATAAAGGTGAGTATTATTGTGGTGAAAAAGTTGGAAAATGGAACATTTTATATGTAGGGGTTGTGGGTAAAGAACATAATATAATGTAATTATAAGCAATTATTGTATAGTGGTGGTGGATAGTACGATAATAGCATTAAAATTGGGAAGTGGACAGATTTGAGTGATTCTTTTACTTCTAATAATGCAATTATGTATAAAGGAGAATATAAAAATGGTAATAAAGTAGGTCTTTGGGATATTTTGTTGGATTGGATGTATTTTGATAAATTAAAGATAATGTAAGATATTAGAAATTTTATAAATCTTTTAGTGGTGGTGGATTTTATGATAAATAAGGTTATAGTATAAAAATAGGGTAGTGGATGGAGTTATCTGAATAATTTACTAAGTTTTGTTAAATTATGACAATTGGTGAGTACAAGAATGGTAGAAAAGTTGGCACCTGGAATGAGATATATATTTAATGAGAAAGCCATCAAAATATCATTCTATAATTATTGAAAACATTAATATCATTATAAGAATTAGTATTTTTTATAAGTTTAGTTGATTAAGAAATTATTTATGATAGAAAATTTATTCTATTGAAAGTTTGCAGAGGTTTTTATATTTTTTTTTTTAGAATTTTTTTTTAATATCTAATGTTAAATAATCCAATAAAAAATTTTCTTTTCATTAATAATTGTTTTTTTATTATCACAATCTTATTTTAATTTTGAAATTGCTCTATTTAAGTTTGGAATCTATAAGCAAAAATTGGTTTTGGAGTTTCAATTTTTAATTTCTTTTTTGCAGGTATTTAAAAATATAATCTTTTACTTCAAACTATACTTTTTAAAAAAAACTAAAGCAGTATACTTTTTTTAAATGAATTTTTATTTAAAAGATTTGAAGAAAAGCTATCTATTTTATTTATAATAAAAGAAAAATTGACTGTCTTGAGTCTTAGTTTACTAAGGAACTATCAGCGTTGTACTCTCTTATTTATTTTTAAAAAGCAAATAGATCTTTATTTACTATTTAAGTTAATTTCTTGGAACTACTTTATATTAAAAATAATAAATTAATTCAAATATCATAATTAAATTAGCTCTTATTCAAATATCTCCAAATTTCTTTTTCTTGTAGATACAATAAGCCAATCTTATAAAAAATAATTAAAAAAAAATAACTCTTTAGAATTCTTAACAAAAGCATTACAAATCTTCTTTTGCCTTATCAGAGTCGTGAATCTGAAAAATAGAATATTAAAAAAGTATTCTTCTTTGATTAATCCATTATATACATATTTATTCAAAAATTTCGTACAATAATTAAAAGAAAAATTAACAAAAGCAGCACATAAAGTACAAAAATCATTTAAGCATAATGATTTACAAAATTTTAGGTATAAAATTATTTACCAAAAATAGGCTTTGAGGCTAGAGTTTTTTCGATATTATGATTTCAATACAATTATTGTTAATTCTAAAATTTAGGATTCAATTGTAAATAATTTATTAATCTTGAAGTAATCGTCACTCTTTTAATTCTACATTTGTTAATCCTCTTTGAGTTAATTGTAAAAAATGTTGAATAAATTGTTTCCTCTAACAAAGTACGATTCCTCAACTTCCTTTTCTGATTCTGTTATTTAGTAAATATATTATTTATTATTATTATTTATTTTTTAAACTGATAATAAGAGTTGTTATATCCCAAATTAATATCTCATTCTATTATTTATATTTGTATTTTTCTCTGTGAAACTATTATATGAAAGACATTGTTGATTCTCAATCTATTTATTTTTTTGTTCGTTTTATTCTTTAATTAATTTAATCTTGAAGTAAGATATAATTGATATCCCCACAAAAAATCCTATTAAAAAGTTAAAAGAGTGGACTTTCATTCTTCCTAAGTGGTAATTATGAGATGAATGCTGACTAATAGCACATTTTTTAAATTATTAGCCTCACATTTTTCAGGATATTATATTTATTAAAAAGCTTCATCTTATGTGATATTACCGAATTGCTAAGAGCGTATTCCTCTTTGTACATTATTTAGAATCAAAATTACCTGTTTATTTGAATTCAAAATAAATTATTCTATTAACTTGATATATATTTATCCTCTATCCATAATGATTAGTATTGATCTATGATTTAAATAAAAAACAATAATATGAAAATAAAGGAGTTAACATCTTAAGTAAAAAAAATTATAAATGCTGTAGAACTTTATTTACAAACATACTAAAAATAGATTTTATACCCATAATTTAATTAGAAAAAGTAATAGAAATTCTTTATTTTTACATAAAGATCATGAATTGCTTTTATCATGCTAGAAGAGAAATAACTTTGATTTGCTATGCATCACACAAATGCCAAAGGAAACTTTGTGTTGAATGCATATAAGAACAAGGACTTAATCACTAGACGATGTTGATTGAAACATTTTAAGAAAAAGTAAAACAAAAACTAAAAGAGCACATGCTTAAAGATCCAAATGAATTAAACAAATGTAGAACAAGTTTTAAATCTATGCTGTCTGAAACTGAAAGTATGTTGAAGAAAATTTGGGAAGAATTATCTTAATCAATAAAATAAATATATGATTGGATTGAGCAGGAAAATAAATCATATATTGACCTCATAAACAAGTATTCTAACTTAGCAGAATCCTCATATACTGATTTAGAAAAATTAGTTCAAATCGTATATGGAAAAACATTAAATGATTGGTATGTTGAGAAAAATAATATACTGATGGAGTTATAAAAGCATAAGAATTGTTGGAACTAAGAAATTAAGACTTATTGTTAAAAGCTGGATAAAAAAATAAAAGATATTATTGCATCAATAAAGTAAGTATTTCAATCATTTTTTAGTAGTAAATTAAGTTAACAAGAAGATTTAGTATAAAATTAGAAAGAAGATCTGTTTGGGAGCTTAGCTTCTTTAAAAAATATTGATGCCAAATTTTTTATTGTGATTATTGAAATGCTGAAAAAAGAAAAACCTTCCGATATTTTATATTTTCTTTCAAAATTAGATATTCAAAAACTTTTAAATTAATATTTAGATAAATCTTATAATGTAAATGGTGTAAAAAATAACATTCAGCATATAGTTACTGTTATAAAAAATATTTATGATCATGACTTTAACAAAAAGGACTATTCCACATAAAAATTCAGATAAACTAAACAAAGGTTAATTGGAAAAATAAAAAAAGAAGCGAATATTATAGGATTTTTGAAAATTTTAGTAAACTTGACATCCATTGATGAAAATTTAATTTAGTGTGGATCAAATTCACTTCATTTGTTGGTTTAAATGAAGGTTGATTTGACATAACAATCTTTTTAAAATATTAAGATTAAGAATACTTCTTTAAATGGAGGAAGTTTTGCCGAATGCAATTTTAGTTGTTCTAAATTCAACAATGTTGAAATAAGTGGAATTAACTTTAATGGAGCTAAACTATTCCATTGCGAATGGAAAAATTTTAAAATAGATTAATAATATTAATAAGTATATCATGATAGTGGAATCCTATCATAATGTTTTTCTCCTGATGGCTCTAAATTAGCATCTGGTAGTTGGGATAACACTATTTGTTTAAGGGATATTAAAACAGGAAAAATAATATCTTTATTAATTGGTCATAATAGTCCTATTTATTCAGTATGCTTCTCTCCTGATAGTACTATCTTAGCATCTGGTAGCTAAGGTGGCTCAATCCGTTTATGGGATGTTAAGACAGGATAAGAAAAAGCCAAATTAGATGGTGATTGTAATTGTGTCTATTCGGTAACATTCTCTCCAGATGGTCTTACACTAGCTTCTGGTAGTTAGGATAACTGTATCCGATTATGGGATATTAGGAAACATCAACTAAAATCCAAATTAGATGTACATAGTAATTTTGTCTATTTATTAAAATTCAATCCTGATGGTACTACATTAGTAACAAGTAATTTGAATGGCAATATTTGTTTATGGGATATTAGGACTAGAAAAAAAAAATTTATATTAAATAGTTATCACGATGCACTCTTTTCGGTATGGTTCTCTCCAGATGATATTAGAGCGTTTTATTCAGTATGCTCCTCTCCTGATGGTACTATAGCATTTGGTAGTTATTATGGCACTATCTGTTTATGGGATGCTAAAACAGGGCTACAAAAATTTTAATTATATGGTCATCGAAGTACGGTCTATTCATTATGCTTCACTTCTGATAGTAAAATATTGGCATCTGGAAGCGGCAGTGAAGATAACTCTATTCATTTGTGGGATGTCAATACAGGGAAAAAAAAATCTGAATTAATCCGTCATAATTGTACTGTCTATTCATTATGCTTTTCTCGTGATGGTACTGCACTAGCTTCGGTAGCGGTGATAATTCTATTTGTTTATGGGGTGTTAAGGCAGAAAAAACAAAATTTTAATTATTTGGCCATATCGGAACTGTCTATTAAGTTTGTTTCTCTAATGATGGCTCTCTATTAGCATCTGGTAGCGATGATGAAACTATCCGTTTATGGGATGTTAAGTCAGGATAATAAAAGGCAAAGTTGGATGGTCATAGTGGAACTGTCTATTCAGTACGCTTCTCTGCTGATGGAACTTCATTAATATCTAGTAGTGATGATGAGCTGATCTGTTTATGGGATCTAAAGACAAATGAGGAAATTTAATCTACAGATAATAGATATAAAGATTTATTTACATAATTGGAAACTCCATTATTACAGCACAATATCCTTTCAGGTATTTATACTCTTTAATAATTTAGTCGCCACTAATATTCCTTTTCTTTTTATATCCCAATCACAAATATTTTAAGCAGATGAAGCTCAAATCGTAAAAGGGGAGTTTTTTAATTATGAAGGCATAGATTTAAGACCATTATTAAAATCTAAAGGAAGTTACATTGAGTAGTGAAATATGATTAATTTAAGAGCATTACAATTACGTATAATTACAAGCAATTTCTCATTTTTTTTTGATTTTTTTAAAAAGTCTACTCATGGTTTATTAAGTTAAAGAGAATGTTGATTGTTGAAAAAAGTTACAAATTTTTTATATTTTTAAATCTGATTCATCATAAATCTCTATATATAAAGTAATTAATCTATAATTTTTTGTTAATGTCAACCTACAATAGAGTAATAAAGGAAAACCTAATTACATAATTGAAAATATTCTTTTCTATATTAAGTAGTCATATAGATAACTTCTTAAGTTTATAACTAACTGGTTCTAAGGAGAACTTTTTTTTTAATTTAGGCTTTTATAAAAGCAAACAGAATATTCCTGATTCCGTTCTAAAACCATCAATCACTAGAACCTTAGTAGATAGTGTAGACATTCTTGGATACAAGATGTAAAAAAATTCTCATAAAAAAAGTATTTAGCTTTTGGATTATAAAGTTAAGCAGAAACTAATTTATCTATGTCTATTATGAAAAGAAAAATTCTCAGAATTTGAATTTGTTTAATTCATTTAAAATATTTTATAACCTTTAATATCATCTAAAGATTGCAATGAAACGCATTTTTCATTCCTACTTATTATTTATTATGAATAGTAAAAGGGGTGAATAATTTTATTTTTGTTTTTAAGACAGGGAAGACATTTAAGATGGACAAATCGATCTTAAAGGATGCTATTTTGTCTCAAGAAGTGAGTCATCTAATGGGCTAGGTTCCACCTTTGATTGAGTAGGTAGGAACAACTCTCTTCCAGGAGATAAATTAAAGTCTTTCAATTGATGAGTGTTGTCAGTTTGTTTCGCTTTCTAAAAAAATAAGGAAGGATTAGAAGATTTAAGATAAATTGAATAAATCCAACAAGAAAAATCCAAGAGGATGTAGAGGATCAAAGAGAAATTGATGAAGTCTCAAATGAGTACATTATTAAATTAAGAAATAGTAATGGAATCTCTTTAAATTTATTTTTCTTCTCAATGTATGATATATCACAAAGGAAGGTTGAGTTTATCATTTCAACTTATTATCAATAAATCATTCAAAGAATTAACTAAAACTATAAGGCAAGCTAAGTTATATTTTTTAATTATTATCTAATTATTTTCTATCATTAGGAGTAAAATTAGTAATATAATTAGAACTTTGTATAAAATGAAAATCATAACAATTTCATCTAAATAAATATCATCTTAAGCTTTGCAAATCAAGTATTTATTATCATAAGATACAGCATTCTATTTATAATAGATAATACTGCTAAAGAAAAGAATTTGCAAATTGATTGAAATTCTTCAAACCTCAGAAATTAATTTTTATTGAAGTCAATACTTACTTATCATTGAAAAAAAAATAATGAGTAATTTTTTGATGGCAATTTTATTTTCTTTGAAATCTTAAATCATATTCTTATAGAAAAAATAGTGATTTCTGATCCTCCTATGGCTTATAATTTAGTATTTTATGAAGCTTAGATTTGGTTTATGGATGAGGAAATAATAATTTATAATTTTAGGAGTTGGGATTTATTTGTAATCTATTTGCTTTCAAAATATAGTTGATCTCCCTCAGTTTATTTACAAAGATATTATCCATCAGGAAACAGAATAATGTTGATATATTCATAATTTTACAAGTAAACTAATATCTAAGACAAGGTACTTGCCTCATAATAATCAAATGGACTAAGTAACTTAGCATACAAAAATATTTCTTTCTTGAAAGGAAGATGCAGAAATGAGTTAATAAACATTTGGAAATTATAAGTCTTTTTTTATTCATCACCTTAGACCTACTAAATTTTAGATAAACCCTCTTCACTCCCTGATATTAATTGTTTACCATTTTTTAGAGCAAAATAAACTAGTTATTAATTTATTGGGACCAATTAATATGTATTTCTCTTTACATAATTAAATTTTCTAATTTATTATTTTCCATAGTTGAAATTGTATCATTCAAAATTGACATATTTTTGAATTAATTACAAACATGACTTAAATCTAAATGATTTAAAATCTTAAAAAGAACTTAGTGATAAGAACATAGTTTTTGTTTTTTTGAATATTAGAAATTGAAATATATCTTTGGCTTTAATAATTCAATTGAACCTAAATAATGATTTTTAGATATTTTAAACCAAAACTGATAATATTCTATTAAAATCTGAACTCTTATTATAATTCATATTAATTAAAACTAATTAGTATAAAAAATTAGAACTCTATTACGACCCATCAATCGATTTATGTGAATATATTTATGGAATTGAAGTTAGAGAGCTATATTTCTATTATATTAGTTATAAATATATGAACTATCTCACCACAACATCATTTTCTCATTTTATGATTAAGTTAAATTAAATTAAAATCAATTCTGGATTTTAATTTTATTTTGATTTTTATTAAACAGAAATTATGAAAGCTAAATGGCGTTTTCAATTTAATCCTTTTTCTATGATAATATTCCTATTTATCAGGTTGTTATTCATTGAAAACTTGAGCAGGATGATTTTTGAATGGATTCAGACTCAATTAAAGTTACATATCTCTAATTTTCTGCTCTGATTAGAATTTACTATTTCGTAGCTCATTTCATCTAGTAGATTTTTAAATTATCAACTATTAATAAATTTTCTAATTTTTATTAATTGATTTAAAGATTCTAATTATGAGAGAATTTATTTTATAAATTTATTTAAGTTTAATTATCATATGATTTTTACTATTATAGATCAGAATTACTAATTATTTTTATTTAATTTTGTGAGATCATTTCTTATTGATTAATACTAGTTTTCTTTTTATTCAATTTATTCTTATTCCATATGCTTTTAGATAGTAACCTTCTTTTTTTAAACCTTTGTTTCTTAAAGTTTAAGTAGGTTCTACATTGTGGCACCATCTAATTTATACAAATACTTTACATCTTCCGTAAATGCCTTAGAAAGACAAACTTCCCAGTTTACCTAGGTCATTAGTTAAACTTAAAAGCTAAACTCATAAGCCTATCTAAGTTAATACATACTATTCCTCTATAAGCCTTCTAAGAGTATTTCGTACTTTTTGATGTAGAACTATGAAAGTGAATGGAAAGCTTTGGGGTTTTAATTAGGGTAAACACCAGTATCAAGAATATGAACTTATCATAAACAAAAATTTTGTGAATAATTACAAGCTATTGAGTAAGCCATCAAAAAATTGTTAACTAAATCATTTAATAAAACTAAGGATAATGTCTTGAAATTATAAATATTGAATGAAGTATTATAAAAAGGACAATATCTAAAATTAAAAAATGAAATAAATTTTTTAGTAAATATTTTTAAAGGATGAAGTTTGAAAATAGAGTTATTTAATAATTGATTTAGATTAATATTGATAAAAAACAATCTAATAAAATTGAAAAAATCAATGTAATGTATTTTTTAAAACACTAAAAAAAAGATATTATAAAAGAAGACTAACTCAATGAGTCAACAGATGAGTTAAATTTGAATAGAACAAAAAGCCAGTCTCGATTAAGGTATCATCACTTATATTTTTCAAAGTGAATAATTCTAAGTATGTAGTTAATGATTCAAAATATTTAAATAGAGATAAAATTAGTAATCTAAGTATTTATCAATTTCATATTTATTACATTACTAATTAATTGTTTTAATAGTATTATAATGATGAAGTCTTAAATCTTTTGACTTGGCCTTAGAAATCAACCCAATATATGAAGTGGTTATAATAATAAAGGTAGTTTATTTTACACATGATTATTCTTGGTGTTGCCTTAATGCAAATATAAATCATTAATCCTAATATATAGATGCTCTTTTTATATAGAGACAGCAATAGATTTAAAATTCAAAAACAAGTCTCACAGAGACGAATTAGTTTCTGAATTTTTATTCCTTTTTCAGATTTGATTGATGAGAATCCAGATTAATTTTGTCTTAACTTTCAAATTTGTAAAGATCTGAATATTTACAACTAATACTTCAGTATTTATTTAAATTTTGTTACTGATACAAAATCTTGAATTTCTTATATAATGAGAATAGTATTTTCCCAAATTATTAATATTATAAATAATAAATTATCTAATTCCTATTTTGTCTCTCAATAATAAGTAAATAATTTTCATAAAAAATAAAAATACTATCTATTAATGATAGATATTAGCAACTATACGATAAATGAAAAATTTTATAATTTTTGTAATTAATAATTTTATCTATAAAGAATAAGTACTTAAATGAAATATGATGATAAATAATATTTTATTTTTGTTAATATTTATCAAAATCAAAGTTTCAACTAAAAACTGATTTTATTTTGATAATTTTGTATTACTATTTTATTTGTAAATAAATTTGTCTTTATTTATTCTTAAGATAACCAAGTTTAATTAACTTATTTTTTAATCATATACCATCCTTTTCTTCTGTAATCTTAATTAACATTATCTTCATTATCATTTTGTCCTTATGTAAGACAATTAATTTAATAAGAAATATGATAAGATTGATTTTATGAATCATAATAATAATTAGACTTTTAAATTTACAAAGTAAGATGTTTCTTTTTTAATTAATTTTGCTATTGATATATTTATTAAAAGAAATGTTTGTTCTTTAGGATCTGCTACCACAACAAAAACAGGCTTTAGATATGAATTTTGGATAATAATTTTCAAAAATTTAATTTTTTTTTAATTTTACAATTGTTTTTGATTCTGGTAATATTATGTTAACCTTTTTAATTAACAATTAATGCTAAATAATCAACGAATATATATAGATGAGTATCATGATTTTCAAGAAATTAATAGGATTTTGAATTAAATTTGATATTTCTATCTTTTTGATTTATCGATATGGTAATTTTTTAAAATTAAATGATTATTAATATATTGTATCTAAATGTGTCATATAAAAAAAAAATTTGAATAATCATCATATTCTATTCTTAACATTGGTTAATTAGTTGAAAAGTATAAAACTGTTAAAATTCTATTTTTAAGATCCCAAAACAACCATTTTGATATTGATTATTCACTATCATTTTTAATTTATTAATGCAAAATTACCATCTATAGAGAGTTATGGATTTGTATCTCCTAAAAAATTAGATCTATCAAATAATTTTTATATCTTATGATTATAAACATCAATAATAATAAGTCTTTGTAATTCTTTTTTTCTTAAAATTTCAACATTTACATTTATTAAAATAAAATAATGATTTGGACTTATCATTACACATGAATCATCAAATAATGAATTACCTTCTTCTAATGAATCATTTTAATTATTAAGGTCTGAAATATCATCTATCTCATAGTTTTCTATATCTATTTTTACTTCTTCTCCTTTTTCATTAGAATAATAATAATTAATATTCAAATCATCTGGACCATCAACATTCTACATTTCATCTTCTAATAATAAAAGATATTCTATCTGGCAATTCTCCACATTATATTATCGTTCATTTTCATTTGAAAATTAGAATGTGAGTTCAAATATAACTAAAGTCAGAGTTTAAAAATTATATATTTTGAAATGTTTATTTGGTTAGTTTGGATAAAGAGCATTAACACGATACTTCTTATATGATTAAAAAATGGATTATGAAGCTATTTTATGAATAACTGAATTAATCGTTGAGTCAAGAGCTGAAAAAATTTTGGAACCTAATAAATTTCTGATAACGTTAATGAATATTATTAACTAAATCTTGACTTTTAGATTAAAAATTTTTATTAATTTNTATTTTTAAATTCCTCTAATAAAATCAAAAATCATCCATTTTCTTCTTTATTCTTAGTTAATATTATCTTCATTATCACCTTGCCCTTATGTTAGACAATTAATTTAATATGAAAAATGATAAGATTGATTTTATGAATCATAATAATAATTAGACTTTTAAAATTACTAAGTAAGATGTTTCTTTCTGATTAATTTTCCTATTGATATATTAATTAAAAGAAATGTTTGTTCTTTAGGATCTGCTACCACAACATAAACAGGCTTTTTAGATATGAATTTTGGATAATAATTTTCAAAAATGTAATTTTTTATAATTTTACAATTCTTTTTTATTCTGGTTATAATATATTAACCTTTTTAATTAACAATTAATGCTAAATAATCAACAAGTATATAAAGTTGAGTATCATGATTTTCAAGAAATTAATAGAATTTTGAATTAATTTTATATTTCTTTCTTTTTGATTTATCGATATTGTAATTTTCAAAATTAAATGGTTATTAATATATTGTACCTAAATGTGTCATATAAAAAAAACAATTAGATTAATCATCATATTCTATTCTTAAAATAGGTTAATTAGTTTAAAAGTATAAAACTTTATAAATTCTATTTTTAAGATCCAAAAACAAACATTTTGATATTGATTATTCAGTATCATTTGTAATATTTATTAATGCCAAATTACCATCTTTAGAGAATTATGGATTTGTATCTCCTAAAAAATTAGATCTATAAAATAATTTTTATATCTTATGATTGTAAATATCTATAATTATAAGTCTTTGTGATTCTTTTTTTCTTAAAATTTAAACATTTACACATATTAAAATAAATTAATGATTTGGACTTATCATTATACATGAAACATCAAATAATGAATTACCTTCTTCTAATGAATCATTTTAATCATTAAGGTCTGAAATATCATCTATCTCATAGTTTTCTATATTTATTTTTACTTCTTCTCCTTTTTCATTAGAATAATAATAATTAATATTCAAATCATCTGGACCATCATAATTCTACATTTCATCTTCTAATAATTAATCATATTCTATCTGGCAATCCTCCACATTATATTATAGTTCATTTTCATTTGTAAATTAGAATGTGAGTTCTATAGTTCCACAAATTGATTAAACTTTTCTTTGATCTTCCATTAACATCTTCCAATACTCTTTATAAGATTAACTCATTAACAAAGGCTTATTTATTAATAATATAATAGATATAATAAGAGTGTTTTTAAATATCTAAAATCTTAATTAATTTACTATCAATTATAATTAATTAAATCTAATTCTATATTATATAAGACACAAATTTCTTAGATATTTGAAGAAATTCAAATATATTAATTTATATCATTTTATCAATTCTTATTAAATCAATAATCGTAATTTAAACAGTATTTATTAATACTTTTAAATCCTAAAATATTTAGTTATTTTATTATATGGATATTGATGTTTGATAATAAGTATCAATATTAACCTTATTTAAGTTAACCATACTATTATTTATTGTTGACATGAAGAAATGAAATATACTTTTTATTATTTAATAATTTTAATAGAAAATTAAATTAAATACAAATGTTAATTAGAAATAATAGAGAAATGAAGATTTTATGAAGGTAGATGTTTATGTGTAAAGCTTATAATTGAGAGATTGAATAAATGATGAATTTAATTGATTAAATAAAAAATATGATTAAAATAATTAAAATTAAAGAATAAAATAAGAGGAATTAAGATATTTAAAA